GTGACCAGAGGTTGCTAAATTAAATAATTGTATAATGTGACCAGATCATCATTGTAAGGTGACCAGAGGTAACAGAGGACAAAATCTCTGTTCGATGACCATGGGTAACAAAGTCAACATATGTGTAAGTATGGTGACAAGAGTTAACCAAAGTCAAAATCTCTCTAAAAAGGACAAGGGAACCAAAGTCATGCAATGAATATTTGTGTAAAGAGACAAAATGGAACAAGATTTGTATAAGGTGACCAGAGGTCACCAAAGTCAATATCTGTGTAAAGTGACAAGAGGCAACCAAAGTCAATATCTGTGTAAGGTGACCAGGGGTGACCAAATCAAATATATGTGTAAGGTGACAAGAACATCAGTGACAGTGACCACAGGTAAACAAAGTTGATATCTGTGTAAGATGACAAGAAGTAACGAAAACCTATATCTGTGTTAGGTGACCATTGGGTAAACAGGGCCAACATTTGTGTAAGGAAGGTGATCAGAGGTAACCAAAGTCAATATATGTTTAAAAAGACAAAAGAGGACCAAGGTCAACATTTGTGTGAAGATAGCAGAGGGGACCAAATATGTGTAAGTTGTCCAGAATTAAGTAAAGTCGTCATACGTGTATGGTGACCAAAGGTATCCGATGTGAATATCTTTGAAGGTGACCAGAGGTTACCAACGTCAACATATGTGAAAGGTGACCAGAGGTAAACAACGTAAATATATGTGTAAAGTGACAAGGTGTATCCATTATACATGTGAAACCAAAGTTAAGTCAACATTTGTGAAAAGAGAACAGAGGTAGCCACTTTTTTGCGAAGGAACTTAATACTGCGACGTGGGAAACAGTATAACATAACCAGATCGTGCTTGTGTCGTACATAAAAAAAATATTTATTTCATTGTAGATGCTGCTAAAAATGCGAAAATAAAACGTCACCTTTATTGGCAGATAAACCGTGACTCGCAGGCGGACCGGGACAAGACTGGGAACCGGTACCCTGTTTTTTTTCGTTTAGAGTGGGCGTGTAGAAACAAAGTTATATTTCTTTCCATTTTACAGGGAATAATGGTGAGCTACATCTAATTGTATGTCATTAAATTTGAATTATTATGCAGTAAACAAAAAAGACTGACGCCATATTAAATTAGGCAGTGGCTATTTTGGCGGCACCTGCAAAATAGCAAATTTGCTATTTTGCCGGCTCTGATTAAAATATCTTAATTCAAGCCGGCAAAATAGCCTATTTCTATAGCAATGAATATTTTACCGGCAACAAAAATATAGTGAATGTGTTGCCGGTGCTGGAAAAAATAGAAAATATGTTATTTTGCTGGCATAATGTAAGCGGAAACCAAGTTAAATCTATGTTGTTTACACATATGCAGTTCAATTAACTGACTATTATTTCAAACATTTTTGATTTTTGAAGCTATGTGATTGACTTTGTTATATTGTATAATGTTTTATCAAATTTACGATGCAATGAGATTTTTAACTTATTTTTTTTATAACACACAGTTAAAAAATCTGAGATTTTATTATTCTTATGCATACATATAGCATTAGACTGTCACTGACTGATTTTAGAAATAATATCAACTACATGTTTAGATATGATTTAATTGCAACAAATGGATGCTAAATATTTTTATATTGATTTTTTTTTCTTGTTATAAATTCTTAAAATTTATTTATACTTTGACTGATAAATGTTTTTAAAACATATGTCTTGTTCGCTTTTTTCTTATTTAACTACTGGTATATCAGTAATTATTTGATTTTTACATCGCGATGACCGTGAGGGCATTCCGATGTATTGCTATCGCCTAGATTTCCATTACGTAACTTTCGTTTTCGGTTTGTAACCGATCTATAAACATGATAAATACGCGGATATTAACGAGTGCAAACTAACATTCCTTATCGTTTGTTATAAATACATCTCTTCAATGAATACTGATAAAAATATTTTTGTTAAGAACATAAATTAATAATATGAAAATGTTTTTTCGTTAGATATGTATATATAAGTAAAACATCATTGATCGAATATCTATGCACACGTACCGAAAAATTGTGTTAAAGCATGCCGAAGAATATCTCAAGAACGTTTTGCGACAATCCCGGCAAGGACCGGTAACTCTGTAATTGTTTCTGCGGGAAAATATGAATGCCTACTCATATCCAATCTTTTAGAAAAATCGAATGTTTACAGAAGAGTGTCCATAATGACTTGCACTGCACTATTATTAGAATAGTAGAATAGAATGATATACAAATGGATGAAAATTATATATACATGTAACTGTTATATTAATATGAATTATAACAACAAACCACTGTATACTGATTTGTATCACTACAATAAGATAAGATAAGATAAGATAAGATATTTTATTTCCAATTATGGGCCCCAAAGGGCATAAACATTACAACATCAATAATTTTTTCATAATTAAATACAAACAATGAGATAAAAAAAAAAAAAAGTTAAACGAGAACTATTTAAGTTCTTAAAGAATACGTAGATAAAGAATCTATAGTATGTTGTTTTTTTTAATACTAATGCATTTTATTGCAAGTGTGGTTGATATAGATAACAAACAAGCAGCCCAAAAAGAAAAAAAGAAAAATAGATATCCACATATGTATAGTACACAAAAAGTTGGATCAATTAAATATATAATAATTAGCCAAAAAGAAAGTAGAAATTAAACATGTCCATGACTCATCCTGTGTCAGCAGCAAATAGGAAAGCATTATGGTTTCCTAAAGGCAGCTGACACCAGGGGGCGATACCTTATGGGCCATAGGCATGTAAAATGTGTGTAAATGTCTCTTTCCTACCTGTATCAAAAGCAAACAAGGAAGCATCATAGGTAACTTGAATGCAGTTGATACCAGGGGACGATGCCTCAAGGATATAAGAGAACATTTGAATAAATAATTTATCTTAACAATTATTTTTTTTTTAATCGGCTAGTATGTTTGTGATATTCAGATGAATATAATTTTCTATGTCCAATCAAATGTATATACACACATAGATTTCCTTTAACTAATCTTCACTAAGGAAGATGTTTGTATATAAAATTACATATTATTTTAAGTAACTCAACATTTTCTACACTAAATAACCAGATAATTTTGCTTTGACTGTTCATATGATTAAAATAAGAATTATATTGTGCAATACTAGCTAACATACAATTTCTATCATCCTCAAATTTGTTACAATCAAATAGAAAATGAGCCTCATCTTCGACAGTATTGGAAGAACATTTATTACATATTCTGTTAATTCGGGGAATACCCTGATATCTACCTAATTCTATTTGTAATCTATGAGAAGATACACGTAATTTAGTAAAACTTCTTCTAAGTTCAAAATTCTTGATCAATGTTAGATATTTTTCAAATCCAAAATTTGTTTTATATAAAAGGTAGGTTTTCAGTTTACTGTCTGAAAATTTATCTATTTGTTTTTTTCCAACAGCTAATAAACAATATTGATAGCTTGGTTTGTATATATTTCTTAAATTTGTATAAGGATTCACAAAATGGAGCATTTATGGCATTTGTATAGTCAATACCAAGTATTTTAAAAACAACATTTATTGAACCATACCATGATGTTATATTCATGTGATGTAGTGTCTTTGATTGTGTATATGCCTCTTTTAATAGAGGAAAATTATTACCTAAATTCTCTAATCTATACCAGTACAATAACATTCCTTTTATAATATTAAAATATATTGGAAATCTTCCAAGTTCAGATAACACTGCAGCATTTGTTGTTTTCTTGTGTACCCCAAGTATAAATTTACAAAATTTTATATGAAGTTTCTCACAGGGTAAACCTGAATATAATTTTTCAAAAGATATATCTTCCTTCTTACATTTAGAGGAAAGAGAATTAAACATCCCCCATATTTCGCTACCATATAATAAAATAGGTTTTACAGTGTGGTCAAAAACATGAATACTTGTTTTTACATCAGGATTAAGTGATAAAAGATCTTTCCTTAATTTGAAATGAGCTTTCAGGGATTTTTTGTATAGTTCATTTTGAGCATAACTGAATGAACCAGATGAGCTTAAATATAAACCTAGGTATTTGTATTTTGAAACACATTCCAGATTTATATTCTGAAATGTGAATATCTGTTTTACATGTCTGCCTGCCTTGTTGAAAATCAGCACCTTTGTCTTATTAGTATTCACATTGAGACACCAATCTTTGCAAAATTTATCAAGCATTCCCAGCTTTTCTCGTAGTCCTTCAGCTGATGTAGATAATAAAACAATATCATCAGCATACATTAAACAATGTAGATCTTTGTCATTGACATTAACTGGGTCTCTAGTATCTGACAAATATCTGGGCAAATCATTTATGAATATCTATGATAGTTATTACGGTGAGGTTGAATTTCATGTCATTTATTCATCATCCACGCACGAACTTGTATCAGAAAAAATATATCTCTGTACATTAATCTCAGTTTCAGGTATAGAGATGTGATTTTTTTCTGTGACAAGTGCTTTTGACCATCCACAAGAACTTGCGGTCATCCGATGTTCAGTACTTCAGTACTTTGATTTCATGTTGACAGTGCACCTTTTCATAGTACTTTTCAAAAGTAAATATTAAATTTCACTCTGTACAAAGAACCTACAAAATAACACATTCACTATATTGCTGGTGCCGGTAAAATAGCCATTTCTATAGAAATGGGATATTTTGCCGGCTTGAGTAAGGATACTGCCATTAAATTATATCTGTGTTCTTTCACCAGTATTTTTTCATGTAAATGTATGTGATTGTCCCTTGACCAATCATTTTATTTTTCTTCAAAGTCGGATTGTTTAGTTATCATTAAGACTCTAAAATGGGCTTAATAAAATTTTGAATTAATAGATTTAAAAACTTTTTAATGGTGAGCTTTTTGAAAAAGCTAAATCAATTTCATGAACGCATCGCAATCTCAACTTCCGTTTCATCCCGCCCTCTACGCGGAAGCAAACAAGTGACACCGGCAAAGTAATCTTGGTAAGTTTAACCAAAGAGAAACACTGTACATGCAAAAAGAAAGGTAGTTAAGCAGCTAGTGTAAGTTCATTTATTGAAGTTCTGCTTAATCATGTAGTAAAAAATATCGAGAAACAATGGCAAACATCAAAGGAAAATCGGATTTATCAAAAAGGGGGAGGGTTGTCCTAGAAAATATTGTCTGCATTTGGCAAAATGCATTATTCGTTCAATCTTTAGAAGACAAATGTAAGGAATTGAAGAATTGATGGTCAGTACTCAGAGTAGCTAGACCATCATGTTATTAAACTGAATATACTGAAGATATGTAACAGTGTAAGATGAATCACTTCCTTAATAGATCTTAATACTAATAGGCTTTAATTGGCTTGTCAGTGATATGCTGAATCATATAGGTTAAAGCTGCATAAAAATTGTTTGTAATTAGGATACAGAAATAACTTCACAAACAATCTATAGCAAAATAAAGAGAGAGTGACCTTTTAAGAACTGACCACTGGTCATTTTCTTTTATCCTGACTTGATGCCAATCATGCCAATGATGGTATTGAAAGATTTATTTTGATTTTTCTTTCAATATTATTTTAGTACCCCCTCCCTCATCTTTGTAGAAACTGACATCTTTTTTTGTGGAAGGGAACTTGACTGACTGACCTTTCAGTGGCAGATTTACCAGGGGGCATGTGAACAAGATGACTCAGGGCTTCCAATGTAAAGGAAGGTGTCCAATATGTGACCATCTTGACAAGTTCTTACATAAATATTCTCCAGTTCTTCACCCATAAAATCTGTTGAACCGTCACAGGAAAAACTAAAAAAATCTGCCTTCTGTAATATACCACACACATCTTCTCCCGTTACATTGGCAATGGATTTTACAAACACAGCTGCTGCTTTGTCATTTAAGTAGTTAGATCCAATGTCCAATCCTTTGGCACGTTCCAGTTTACACAGGAAATTATAATCACTGAAAGATTTTGGTGTTTGGCAATACAATGTACATGTAGCATGTGTGTTTCTGAATTTTATAGCAAGACGATCATAATCAGCAGCCTTCACTAGAATGCTGTAGCATTTTTCAGCCTTTGATGGTTCAGCTGCAGGCTTCTCATATTTTGGAGTAATAAAAAAAAACTGACGCGACCTTGTAGCGTCGTATTTTCTCTTCCTTACATTTTTGTCGGCGGGGGGCTTAAACGGCTTTCCCGGACGAGCTCCGCCAGTACATTGCCGAAGAAACATTTTTGTGAGGGGAATATAAGTAAGGGGGAAGGAAACCAATGGTTTGTCATTTAATACAACGTCTCGATCCAGTATCAATCGTAATACGTTCAATTCATGTGAAAAAGCGCAAAATAGAAACCAATTAATTGGTGTCACTAATTACCAAAGACAAAAAGAGTGTACCAACTACAGAAAAATCTACAAGCCCCCCCGTTGGACTTTTGAAGAACAAATTTGACAAGTCCGCGGCCGATTTTACTGGCCAGGACCGTCGGACTTGTGGCTAAATTCGAAGGCTGTTTCTCTACAAAAGCTTTTATGTAATTTACATGTACATGTACATGTTGATTTGAATAGAACGAATATTTTTATTAGTTTTTAATGCAATAATACAGATTAAGATCAATTAACAGGTGAAATCTGGGGCCTCGGTGGCCGAGTGGTCTAAGTAGTTACTACTGTAATGATGTAATCACTAGCCAGTCAACACTGAGGTTGTGAGTTCGAACCCTGCTCATGCGGGTGCACTCGACTCCAATCTTAATTGACTAGGATTGTCAGTTTTCCTATTGAAGGTTGGTGGTTTTCTCCGGGCACTCCGGCTTCCTCCACCAATAAAAACTGGCCGCCACGAAATAGCCCAATAGCGGTGCTCAAAAGTGGTATTAAAGCACCAAAAATCATATCAAATCAGGTGAAATCTTCTGATCAGGAAAGAAATTACCAACTAAAATCTGTGTTTTTAAAGAATAGGTACAAATAGATGTTTACTTTAGCGTCAAGAATGTTGGTATTAATACATGTATATGGGATATGTCTTCATAACAAAATACTCACATTACCATTTCTTGTGACTGTATTTTGTTTTTTTTCAATATCATACAAGATTTTGTTTTAAACTGAATGTCATATTTCTTTTCCCTCTTATTTTCAAAGGAAACCAACAATTTTTTTTTTAAAACCTTGCCCCCCTTCCACAGAACATGAATTGGCATTGTCTAATATATAATCATTAATAAAATGCTATTGTGTTTTTATAAGACCTACTTTATAACATATTCTGGGACTAATACATTTATCTATTAGTCCAAGCATACAGTAATATATGTATATTATTTTTCTTCTTTCAATTACCATATCATGTTACGATGATGTATGAGGCTATGAATGGGTCCAAATTTATGAGGATATGAATGTGGTAAATAGATAAGAGAATAATGGGAAAAAAAATGTAGATTTATAGGTGTGGGTCCAAAAAATATAGATTTATAGGTGTGGGTCCAAAAAATTTAGATTTATAGGTGTGGGTCCAAAAAATGTAGATTTATAGGTGTGGGTCCAAAAAATGTAGATTTATAGGTGTGGGTCCAAAAAATGTAGATTTATAGGTGTGGGTCCAAAAAATGTAGATTTATAGGTGTGGGTCCAAAAAATATAGATAACATACATGTAATAAAGAGGTGTGAAATATAAAGAATAGGATTATTGATTGTTGGTTGCTTAACGTCCAGTGGCAAATATTTCATGCATGTTTAGGACGAATATAATAGAGATCAATTGGCAGAAGAATAAAGAATAGAGTGAAATGGTAAAAAATTCAAAGATATAGAAATTACCATTACCATTACCACCCACAGTCGCATATATATACATCTGTAAACAAATAAATAATTGCATGTACATACATAAATCAAACATGCTGTTAAAGATACATGTGTCATACATAATTATTTTAGAATGGAGCAACATCATCATAAACATGTATGTATCCTTCAATCTCAACTGATCACAAAAAGCTTTTGACTTGCATGTCTGAAAATCAGTCTTTCATAAAAGTTTTGTGAATCTATATGGCTTGTGATGCATCTTTTCAGGAAACCTTTACTGGCTTGGGCTGTAGGGCTTGTTGTTAATCATGTGAAAAATGCAATTGATAATTAATTTTTAAGCTGTGTTATCAAAGTAAAGTAGTGTCACCAAGGATAGATTTACCTTCGAATGGGAAAAGAAAAGCTCATTAATTACATGTGTCTGAAGATAAAAAATTTGAGAACTGTTGACAAAATCATTTTAACCCTAATTCGCTGATGAATCCTGGTTTACCGCGATTCATGCTTCAGAAGCTGATGATGAGTCCCAGTTTAAGGGGATCAGCATACCTCTTTTGTACATGTACAAAATGTATATCCTGCAGAATAAACATTGTGAACACAATTTATTTTTTTTGTTCGTTGCCCTCATGAAAGTGTGAACATGGCACTTCCTTTTTTGTTGAAAACTATGTCAAAATCAACTGAAATTTATGGATTTTACTGGAATTTGAAAGAGGGGAACATTTTTTTTTAAAGAATTTGTAAGATTTGAAGCCAGACTAGTATAAACTATTTTGACATTAGATGCTGTTTTATGTACTGAAACACTTGGAATGGACATCGTTCAGTGTCAGGAATTTGTACAACCTCGTAAAAAATTTCAAACTTTTGTGTTAAAAAATTTACCATTTTGGGTCCAAAAGACGACTTTCGTGAATTTTATGTATTTCAATGCGGACAATTAGAAGATCTGACAAAAAATTTATTACTGGTAAAACATAAACAAAACTGTGGCAATCGTGTAAGTGAATAAAATAAAAGACATAGATAACACCAGCATGACCAGATTATCTGTGTGCTCCTCATTAAGGAGTTTTATAAATATAATAGGCGAGACAGGAGATGATCATATTATATTGATGCAATAATATATTGCAGAAGGTATAAACAGTTACTTTTTTCTCCATCATTGTTAAAAATAAATTTGTTGAGTGCTCCTATGTCAGGAGGATTATAAAATACAAAAAGTAAAACAGGAAGTGAATCTTGTTATGGTCAAAGTACAAATTTCTTTGATTCTTCTTTAAATTTCATACTCATGGTTATGAAACAAAAATTTGTTTACCAATTAAGTCAAAACTATGTATGCCTTTAAAATTGTTTAAGATTTTATTTTTTATGTTATGCCTACTGAAATAAATTTTTTATGGTGTACTTGCTGTACATAAACATTACAAATGGATAACATGTGGACATTTCATTCTGTATTAATTAAATATCTAGTATTTGTTCAATTATCTTAAATCTACTAATTAGCAGTAAACAATCATTAACAAAGGTGATAAAACTGCCAAAGCATTAAAATTTAACTTAATCCCATTGTCAGTTAATTAGTGTTACACATTAATCAGGTAACAATTTTACCAGAATCGTGGGTAGGCATGAAATTTGGAAATATTTTTTTTAAAAGGCAGAGGGGGGCATTCTTTTACTTTGGAGGGCAGGAGGGCGGGGGTAAGGGCACCAAGGGCGGGCCGCCCTTCTATTTAGGGCAGGCGGGAACACTGACTGATAAATTTTTATTGATATTTAATATGAAGTTCTCCCACATGTGTCACAATAGCCAGGAAACCATTGTCTCAGAGTAACTTCTGTCAGCATGGCTATCGGTGAGAGGGTTAATATATTCTTGTTTCAGCAGTCATCTACTGTATAATAACTTGTTAAGTACTTGCAATTGTCTAGATCTCATCTGACAAGAAGTGACAAAATTTAAATTGTCCAAATGGAATCACAACTTGTCTGAAAATGTTTTTAATCTAGATATACATGTTTGTTTTTTTGTTCATTATTTTGTACATAAATCAGGTTGTTAGTTTTCTCGTTTGAATTGTTTTACATTTGTCATTTCGGGGCCTTTTATAGCTGACTATGAGGTATGGGCTTTGCTCATTGTTGAAGGCCGTATGGTGATCTATAGTTGTTAATTTCTGTGTCATTTGGTCTCTTATGGAGAGTTGTCTCATTGGCAATCATACCACATCTTCTTATTTTTATATGTAGTTTGAATAAATAATAAAATGTACAAAAATGTACAACAAAACAGTCATTTAGTTGATTTGGAATCCTTGTAAAATAAGACTTATTTAATAAGTAAATGAGGAATGAATGCCAATAAGACAATTATCCATTCAAGTTCCAATAAAGAGGCTATTAGTTATGATATGGCCATCAACAATCAGCAAAACCCATAAGTACATTTTGCACATACAATGTAATCATCTATAAAAGACCCTGACATGAAAAATATGAAACAATTCAAATGAAAAAAACAGCATCCTGATTTATGACAAAACTTAAAACTAAAAACAAATATGACAGACAGCATTAAACGACAAACACTGAGGGTAGACCTAGAATATGGGAGACAACCCTTACAATGGTACCTGAAGTCATTTGTGCGTTTTAATCTAGCAGTAATTGAAAACTTTTCAAAAGTGATCAAACATTAATATGTTGTGTACATTTGGTTATGAGATTGAAGCAGGATCTCGCTCAGCTAAGAAAATTGGACAAGTTTGACTCCTCTAAGTATTAAATTAAGGAATTACATGTTTTCAAGATTCAAAAATCAAAATCTGAAAAGTTAGAAAATTAACATTCATACATTAAATGCTGTTGGAAAAAACTATATACTGTTGTTTTGGGAGATGGGTTATTAAAGTTTTTTCCAAACTTGTTTCCCATTCCCATATTTGATCTTATTTGAATTCTTTTTAAAATTGTCCTACTTAAATAATTAATACTGTTTAAACTAATCTTTGGGATTAATCAACTTTCCCTCATAATCATCAGTGGGAGTTGCAATTTTGAGGCCAGGAAATTCATCTTTACAGTTTTCATTCAGGTCCCAGTTTTGGCATCCAAAGAAAATATTTTTCATTTGCTATTTGTTTCCTGTCATTTATTTCATGGTTTATAGGTATTCATTGCTTGTCAGTAAAGAATGTTTCAGATGCGGATGCAGGATTTTGAAAAAGGGGTGCCCCATTGACTCACAATTCTGAAGGAAATAGAATGTTCAAACAACAGTTCAACAGGAATTTGCTTTTTGCACTTGACTTGCCTACTGTTGACAGACATGACAGAGTTATGCTGCCAATGCTGAATGTCCATGGTAGACCTGGTTCCCACTGCATGGCATGGATATTGATAGCTTGGACTAGAAGTCCATAATTTCCTTGGAAGTCTTTCATGTCTATGGCATATTATTTAACACAAATTTGGGGCAAATTTAAGATTTCTTTTTCACAAATAATTTTCCCCATTAGAGATTCTTTTAGCTTTAAAGTTGCCATTTGTTTTTCTTTTTCAGGTTTAAAGGTCAACAGAAATGGTGGGGAAAACCGCCAAAAATTTTGTTAACTTTTTATTCCTCAAACAAAATTTATGTTTTTTCCGTCTTTAGTTGTGTTTCACTTTTTTGTTTTGTTTGGAATGGAAATTGAACTGTTTCACATGATGTGCAGTCTTCATGATAAACTTTTGTAGACATTAAATCTGCAGGCCCGAAGCTCAATTTTATGGAAATTTGAGTTAAATTCTGTTGGCCTGTAGAGATGATTTTTACAGACCTGGAACTCAATTTTACAAAATTTTAGTTCAATTCCATGATGATTTTTACACGTCCAAAAAATGTTTTACAAGCCTGGGCTGTTGCTGTTATGTTTGGCCTGTTGTTAAACGTGAAGACTGAATGTGCATTTATTACATTTATCTGATTGTTGAACTAACATGTGCATTATTTGATTACAGTAACAATGATTATCAAGGTACATGTATTGTAAATACCTTCATGTACAAAAATCTAGGCATGTAAAATAATTTTATTTTGTTTAGATTTTACATACAAGTATATATATCATTGTATACATGAAAGGTAATGTTCTAGACTTATGAACCAAAAATCCCTCTACTGTAACAGTGCTTAATAAAAAATGTCCATAAAATGTGTTAGGGTAGGCACAAAAAATAAGGGTCAATAGGAATTAAGGCCAAAAACAGAACTATATATTTTTTGGCCTTATGTATTGGAACATGATTTTTTGTCAAGCATAATATTAGCTTTGAAATATTTTTGGGACTTGAAAATACAAGGATTCCATTTGAACAATTATATTAAACAATTAAAAGTGATCTTTTGCTAAATAGTCTTTCATTTATTACAAATTATTTAAATTACGGATAAGCTTTTATAACCATGGTAACTGGGATATTTTGAAATTCAGGACAAAACTTATGATCTTTAAAAAGGGAAGTAATTTAATCAGGAAAGGACAAGTAGGTACAATGTTCATGAAATTAGCATATAAATGTTTCGCAAAAATTAGGCTAATTGCCACTATGAAGTCACTTCAATGATATTACAGTTATATTAAATTTCATCTTCAGGACTAACCTGATATTTACATTTTTATAAACGCCTACATTGAGCAGGTTAGAATTGTGTTAACCAATTACATAATTTTCAGCCAATTCACAATGATTTACAGGGCCAAATCATACCCCTCCTTTAAAATTGTTGGGCTTAATGATAGAGTACAGTAGTGTACATTGTACAAATGTAATTAATGAATAATTGATCACACGAAAATTCCTAAAAAGGTTTTTCTAAAGTTTTCTTCATTACTTTAACTTTCACCCCACTGGAATTGATATATATGATAGTTATAAGAGATACCAGCAACAGTTATTTATCTACATATACAATATTAGGTCAATGTCAGAAAAATATAAACTTTTTTGTATGAGGCTGAGAAACTGGGGAAGGGCAATGTTGTACCAAGCCCTTCCCCAGTTTTGTGCTAAATACAAAAAAGTTAACTGTTTATATTTTTCTGACATTGACCTAATATTGTTTTTATATATACTGCAACTTAAATTAATACATTGATCATGTTGATAGTATTTACATTTTTGTAGATTGTATCACAAATTTCAAACTTATTTTCATCCCTTTATAAATGAACCCCTGATTGTGGATAAAGTAATCCATGATGAAATTGACATTGTACAAAATATAGCTTTGTTAAGTACTATATTTAGGAAATGCAGTATAAATGTAATTATGTATGAAGACAAATTGATGAAACATCAACATCACTTGTATACATGTACTATTCAATTATGTGTTTAACAGTTTAAGTAATGTACAGGATGTAAAAACGTTTACATGTACAAGAGATACTTGGACTGATAAATCTACTTTAAAAAAGGTAAATTATCAATGGCAAAAAAAATGCAGTCCTACTTTGAATTTTGTCATGTTGCAATGATATTGACTTTTATCCTTTATCTTTATTACTCTGTAGAAAAGTTCTGCGGTTCACCATAATTTGGCAAAATAAACAGTTATTAATGCATGTTTAATCCTGCCACATTCATTATGGGTCTGTCTCAAGTCAAAGAGCCTGAAATACAGTGGTTGTTGTTGGTTCATGTCTGTCGTATTCGTTTTTCTTAAATTGTTTTGTTACAAATTAGGCTGTTTGTTTTCCTACTTGAACTGTTTCAAATTTTTGTCGAGCCTGCGACTTTTGTCGCAGAAAGCTCGACATAGGGATAGTGATCCGGCGGCGGCGGCGGCGGCGTTAGCTAACTTCTTAAAAGCTTCATATTTTAGAGGGTGGAAGATCTGGATGCTTCATACTTTGTATATGGATGCCTCATGTTACGAAGTTTCAGTCAGTCACATGTCCAATGTCCTTGACCTCATTTTCATGGTTCAGTGACTACTTGAAAAAAAAGTTAAGATTTTTTGTAATGTTAAATTCTCTCTTATTATAAGTAGTAGGATAACTATATTTGGTATGTGCGTACCTTGCAAGGTCCTCATGCCCGTCAGACAGTTTTCACTTGACCTCGACCTCATTTCATGGATCAGTGAACAAGGTTAAGTTTTCGTGGTCAAGTCCATATCTCAGATACTATAAGCAATAGGTCTAGTATATTCGGTGTATGGAAGGACTGTAAGGTGTACATGTCCAACTGGCAGGTGTCATCTGACCTTGACCTCATTTTCATGGTTCAGTGGTTATAGTTAAGTTTTTGTGTTTTGGTCTGTTTTTCTTATACTGTATGCAATAGGTCTACTATATTTGGTGTATGGAATGATTGTAAGGTGTACATGTCTAGCTGGCAGGTGTCATCTGACCTTGACCTCATTTTCATGGTTCAGTGGTTATAGTTAAGTTTTTGTGTTTTGGTCTGTTTTTCTTATACTGTATGCAATAGGTCTACTATATTTGGTGTATGGAATGATTGTAAGGTGTACATGTCTAGCTGACAGGTGTCATCTGACCTTGACCTCATTTTCATGGTTCAGTGGTTATAGTTAAGTTTTTGTGTTTTGGTCTGTTTTTCTTATACTGTATGCAATAGGTCTACTATATTTGGTGTATGGAATGATTGTAAGGTGTACATGTCTAGCTGGCAGGTGTCATCTGACCTTGACCTCATTTTCATGGTTCAGTGGTCAAAGTTAAGTTTTTGAGTTTTGGTCTTTTTTTCTAATACTGCATGCAATAGGTCTACTATATTTGGTGTATGGAATGATTGTAAGGTGTACATGTCTAGATGGCAGGTGTCATCTTACCTTGACCTCATTTTCATGGTTCAGTGGTCAAAGTTAAGTTTTTGAGTTTTGGTCTTTTTTTCTAATACTATATGCAATAGTTCAACTATATTTGGTGTATGGAAATATTTTATGATCTATATGTCAGTCACGCAGGTTTTATTTGACCTTGACCTCATTTTCAAGGTTCATTGCTCAGTGTTAAGTTTTTGTGTTTTGGTCTGTTTTTCTTAAACTATAAGCAATAGGTCAACTATATTTGTTGTATGGAAGAATTGTTAGCTGTACATGCCTGCCTAGCATGGTTCATCTGACCGTGACCTCATTTTCATGGTTCATTGGTCAATGTTTAGTTTACTTGGTTAATGTTAAGTTTATGTGACAGTTGTAATAAAGCTTTATATTTAGGACTATCAACATAATATCAATGATTAGTAAAGAAGGCGAGACATTTCAGCGTGTGCACTCTTGTTTATGTTTGGGCCTTTTATAGCTGACTAAACAGTATTGGGTTTTCTCATTATTGAAGGCCGTATGGTTGCCTATAATTGCTTACATCCAATTCATTTGAACTCTGGTGGATATTTGTCTCATTGGCAATCACACCACATCTCCTTATTTTTATAATAAAAGTTTCAATTGATTAAAAAGTGTTTGTTTATGAACATGCATGTACATTTGCTTGTTGTACAAATTTACTTATAATTTTGTCGATTAATTTTTATTCAGATAGTCTTAAAAAAAAACCTGTTATTTCATCTGGAAAAATGTAATAAATAAATCTGCCTGTCTCTAAAGTTGCAATATAACTACTAAAACAAATTAAAGTCCTTTCTTTTACATCAGATCCATCTGAAAATGTATGTAAAAATACAAAGAACATGTAATTATAATAAAGTTCATTGACTTCATGGTAGTACTATAGCTTTACAGCTAAGCTATTATTAGAAAAAAAAACAAAGATTCCATATCTCTTGGCCTGGTTTCAACTGATTCACAAGTGCCTTTACACCTAATCACTCCTACATCAGCATTACAATCAAGGTGACCTTGAGAATGAAAAAATTCTGAAAATTTTTATGTTTTATGCAAAATTATAGAAATTGAAATCAGATACAGGTTCTAGCTGTCAACAGTTGATTAAGACTTTAAATATTGATTTTCAAGTTGGATATAGGATATATATATGTATTAGATCTTTAATGTCAGATAAAGTTTACATTTCTTTAACACAATTCAATTGCCACATGTGTTGCTTACTTTATACCTGTAAAGTTGACGGATGAGTGAAAATTGATATTCATCGAAGTGTGAAATTATTAGTAATAATTTATTGTGTCTGGATCTGTGTAAATTTGTATTTAATTGGAAATAGACAAGGTATTATTATTGAATGATTTGTTGTTACATTTGGACAAGGAAATTGGATTGTACTGATTGTACATTCACAGTCTGCTAATTTATGTGTTTTGTGTAAATAGAGATTAGTATATGTTAAAAGGAACTCCCACTATTTTTTGAGGATACCACTTTACACGTGTACTTTTATTGAGTACTAGGGTGTGTACACATATTTTACATATCCATGGTATGACACACTGAAATACTCATCAGTTTGGATATTTTTAGACTTAACTATTGAAGTTATTTTTAGATTTGATGGATTTCACCTTTAATTAATTATGCTTTGTTGTTGTGCTAATTCTGACTCAGATGATGATTCTTTTCAGGGGGGCAAATTTGCATCCCTCCAAACCAAGGAAACAGAAGTGAACGGCGTCAAGTCTTCTCCAGAAAGAGAATTGACTTTAAACAAGGAAAAACAAGTTCCAGAAAAATCATTAGAAAAGAAAGTAGCACAACCTGTTAAAGAGAAATCTTTAGGAAGGGAAGTAACTAATAATCCGAGAGAAGGTTCACCAGAGAGTCAATTAAGTCTCGCTCAGCAGGAAGTTGCGGACCTTAAACAAGTAATTCTACAGGAAATACAAAGTAGCGATTCCGACGAGATGTCTCAGCAAGCGTTGTTATCAGCAGTGGATCGTCTAGAGGCTGTCGCTGTCAGGTTAGAAGGTCTGGCAGTCAACACTGGTAGCTCTGGATCTCCTAGTGCAAGTTCAGGTGTGTATGAATGAAAAAAAAAATTTTATCTGGTCCAAATGAATTGAAATAGTCCTTTTGTATTCCAAATTAACTGAAATGGTCCTTTTGTATTCCAAATTAACTGAAATAGTCCTTTTGTATTCCAAATTAACTAAAATAGTCATTATGTAGTCTAAATAAAGGGAATTAATAATATAAGAAAATTTGGTATGATTGCCAATAAGCATTGATAAGACATCTTCCACCAGAGACCAAATAACATAAAATAAGCAACTATAGGTCCCCATACACCTTCAACAATGAGCAAAGTCCATACCACATGCCAAGCTGTTAACTGCACGACATGACAAATGTAAATAGTATAAATAAATTGAATTAGTTTATTTGTAGTCAAATTGAATCAAAATAGTATTTTTGTAGTCCAAATAAATTGAAATAGTCGTCCTTATGAACAGTCAAGGATATAACTCTATAGGGTTATTAGAGAAAAATAACATACATTTGTTATTGTGGACTAAAAAATCAAAGACCTGTGATAACATATGTATGTTACATGTTTCAAAGGGACAATATACATCATTAGTTTTGTTAAAATGTATACAAGTTTTATTGATATTACTGTTGTCTTTATGTATACTTGACTATAGAAAGATATAGCAGTTCATATTTTGCCAATCATGCATAGTACACCTATGTTATTACAGAAAAAATATGCCTGTAATAACTAAAGGGTGTTATTACAGCTTCTCTTTATCACTCCAAAGTATTTGCTCAGACATACATCATGTTTAATTACAATATATTTTAATTCATTGCAAGAAATAATGATCAGAGCATGTAATGAGGTTCTGTGCAAGCTTCCCAGTAATTTCCAAGTGCCTCATATAATATGTTACATGCCTTTAATAACTAAGCCTTGTTATTACAGCTAAGATAATCACTTAAAAGCCACATCTCCTTGATTTACCATGGTTAATGATAAATGTATTAATTTAATTCAAAAATTAGTTATCGAGGCTATGCATTTAGTTTCTGTGCAAAGTTTCAAGAGTTCCCTAGAGTCCACTAAAAATTATAATGTTGATGATTTATTTTACAAATAACAAACATATGTTATTACAGATTTAGAAAATTTAAGGATTAAAGAGTAGACAACTCATAAAAATATCTGTAATAACACATGTAAGATATTTCCGGTAATAACCCTATAGAGTTATATTCCAGACTGATGAATTGAAATAGTCTTTTTGCAATCCAGATGAATTGAAATATTTTTATTGTAGTCCAAATGAACCGAAATAGTCCTTGTTGTAGTCCAAATGAATTGAAATAGTCTTTTTGTTGTTCTTATAATTATGACATGTGGCATGGGAAGGCTATTTCAACTTTTGCTTTGATGCCTTAAGCTTCCTGTAATGAGTCCAAAAATACCCTCGGCATGCAGACATCGTGAGTATCTGGACTTGTAGGCTTGTTTCTACATTTTTTTTGTAAATTGCTATGGTTTAAAAACCGTTTTAATTCATATACATGTATATTAGAATTGTTGCTGTCAACTGGGATGGTTGCTCCTTATACATGTATTTTGATTGTGTAACTTTCTCTACTCTTTGAGTTTTCATCAATCCTTGTGAGGAATTCATAGGTATTTAAACTAGCATGATTGTTTTGTCATAAATCAGGTTGTTAGTTTTCTGGTTTAAATTGTTTCACGTTTTGTCATCCCTTTTATAGCTGACTGTATAGTATGGGTTTGCTCATTGTTGAAGGCCATACAAATGAGAGTGGGTGATTCCCTCTGATATTTGTGAGTTTTAGCACCTAGTCCTCTAATCGCCACTAATGGCCGCCTTGGCCTAGGCACTTATCTACATATACATGTATTTGCATGAAGACTTTGCTGTGTTTTCCCCATGGCCATGGTCCCATGGTACTATATTTTTTTACCAATATTGGTGCTTTCTGAAAAGTTTTTATAATTGGTAAAATTAGGAAAACAGTGCTATTTGAAAATGCTGGGGATGACGCTATAGGGTATGTTGATCTGTAAATTAATTGTAGATGATATACATTTGTTGTGTCATTGGGTTGCTGTCTCATTGATGTATACTCCACATATCCTATTATTCACATACCTCCAGTTACACCAGTTAGAACAAGTTAATTCTTCAAAGATAGCATATCATGCATAAGTTGATAGATGATATATATTAACCTCAGGCCAACCTTGGAAAATTCTTTGTTTGATGTTGCCTACCCATGCCTTGTAGGAAGGTAGGGGTTTCATTATTTTTGGGCCAACAACACGTCAACATAAGTTTCATGTTTTAGACAAGAAAACAACATTAGAGAAGGAAAACATCTTCCCAAAAAAATTTTGAAACAATTTGTGTTATATACTTTTTAGGTTGGTAGGGAGGCAACATCAAACAATTTAAATTTCATTTTTGGCCATACAACAAAATGAATGAATAGTAGAAGCAGAGGGGGCATTAAGTGTTACCCTTGTCCGTCTGTACATATGTTCGTACATCACAAAATTGGTTTTGGTTCTCTAACTTTAGTTTGCCTTAACCAAATGTTATGAAACTTATACTCAATGCTTATTACCACAAAACACAGATCATGTTTGAATTTTGGTGGCGTCACTTTTACCTTTCTAGAGTAATGCCTCTTTACAAATGGAAAAATTGCTGAATTTTTCATTTCCGATCTCTAACTAAAGAGGGAGGCGCTCTCAACAAAAATATTTTTTGTTTTAAACTTAAAAAAGCAACGACATTCTAACAGGAAACCGATTAGTCGAGTATCATTTTGGTAATCGATACTCGGTACTACCGAGCGATACTCAAGTACTCGAGTACTCGTTGACATCCCTAATTAAGACATTAAAAATTAGTTTGTATAAATATACCCAAAAGAGTAGGTACTAATTATATATATATATAGAATTTTTATGGATTTAGGAAATGGATACCTGAATCTGCAAAATTTTGAGTTTTCTTATGAAATTGCTGTTATCCCAAGATACATTGTAGTCCAGGAAAAGCAAGATGATCTGAAATAATCTGAGATGAATTGAATAAATAGTTTTACAAATTTTAATATTTCCTGTTTTTGAAAAGACACCTACACATGTAATATACATGATATATACATAAATCATGTATGTTGTACAAATTATGTTTATTAAGTTAAAAAAGAAAAAAAGAAATATTCTTAAAATTGTGTTTAGAATTTTATTATCGACCATGTACTTATACCTCATTAATCATTGAATGGCTACTCTAAAGATCTGGACACTTTTGTTTGTGACTGATGACAATATTGTAGGTTTTTAATTATGCCCCCTCTGTAGGCATCAGGGGCATTAAGTGTTACCCTTGACCTTCCGTACGTCTTTCCATCTGTCCCATTCTTCGTTTCCGCAATCTAACTTAAGATTACCTCATTCAAATTTCATGAGACTCATTCACAGTATGTATATATACTGAAACACAACACACAGACAGAGTTCAAATTTGGATTGTGAGTCATTAACCATTCTAGAGTTATGTCCCTTCTTAACTTGAAAAATTGTGAGGGCATTTGTGTCAAACACATATTCTTCTTTCATTTTTCCAATATACTGGTACTCAACATGCTCAAGGTACTTAAAATTGATCAAAATATAAGAAAATGTCATTACAAGTGCCTACTGACCTTATTTTTCTTCAGAAGGAAACGTTAAACACATAAATAATTTTTTTGGCCTATTGCAGTTTCTGTTGATAAAATGTAACATCAAATTAACATGAGATAACTGACTGAAATGATGTTTTGTTATATATCTAATCTGACAAAAAGAAAGAAAAACTTACCTGTTGTACATCACCTAATTGTATATTTTTGTCTTGTGCATCATACATGTAGCATACAAACTACTTCTAGAACTAAGAAGTTATGAATTCACGTCTTTTCGAAACTTAAAGAAGCAGTTTCTATTCTTGATAAAATGTTTCAAAACAATTTTGGTAATTTTACAGATGTTGTAGCACCATATGTAGCCGCCTTTGATGGGCTGGTGAAGGGATCAGTAGGACAGTTTATAGACTTATCCAATAAAATCGGTGGAGATGTTGCTAAAATGGTGAGTAATATAGTAATATCTCTTAGCAGATTTCACAGCATTCCCAGTGAATAAGTACTTATCAGACTTAAAATGATAATGCCCCCATTGGAAGATGTCATGACTGCTATTCATTTTGGGGTTGAGACAAAGTTCAAGGTCTAGCAGCTATTGATAGACAAACTTTTGGTATCTGGATGTTATCATTTAAACCATATGTCCAATATTTACCAAACATGGTTGGATAATTCCCCAAGAGATGAGGAAGGCTCCTGTTATAGAATTAAATTTGGGCAAAATTTTGGTTACTACATTTTGTGTTTTAAACCATATGTCCTGTTTTTTTTAATATTTCATTTGGTAATACACTATGAGATGTCAAAAACCCTCTTAATTTCGATGTTATTATGTCAAAGTTCAAGCTGATACACAAAAATGGGGCAAAATGAAGTGTTTGGACTTTCTCTTTTGAACCATATCCAAACTTCAGTAAACTTAGCCATGTTAGCTGGAGAATGTCATTTCCAAAAAGTTTTTAGTCAGTTGGTCAATAGTCAAGTTCACAGTACAATAGACTGAAAGTTTGGGGAAAAGTTTTCTTTCAGGAAAATATCTTTTGAACCATAGATAGATCTTTACTTGTCTTTTGTGAATAATCTGTAGGAGTGAATTTAGACCCCTTTAGATTTTTAGGTTAATGTCATGGTTACAGCAGCAATTAATAGAATAAAATTTGGGCAAATATTTTGTAGCCAACCACTTACAATATGTTGTTGGCAGACTATACAGTCGTCATGGTACTCTACGTAAAAACCTTTTACTTCTCTATGTTATTGTTCTAATACCTACTTGTTTTCCTAGGTTGCCTCTGTAATTTCCACAAAAATGAACATGTCAGTATTCATCATAAGATTTTTGATTAAAAAAAAGCTGATCGCTCTTGCTACATGTAAATCCAATGTTGAAAAGAAATTATTGTTCTTTTTACTTGCAGACCTTGATCTGGTTTTTGGCATTAAAGTGTACATTTTGAAAATAGCAATTTTTTAAATAGAATTTTGGTTTGCTCTGTTTGCATTGAATGAATTTAAGCATAATTGCTGCACTTGGACCTTAATGTTTCATGAAAATTATTTTGTCCATACAGATTGGAATACCCATATTATAAACTTGGATATGTATGATGGCTCGTTTCGAGGCAGAGACATTTTCACATATGTGGTTTAATTTTCGGGGTATTTATTTTTCCGTAAATAAGCACACCCCGAAATTTTGCGGCTCCTCGTGGTAAAAAATCCCTTTTTTCACAATAAGTTCTTGGAAAATTTAATACTTTGGATACATTTAATAACTCCATATTTTTTACACATTTATTCTATGGTCCTAACCTTTCCAAATAAACACAAATGGTTAAGCTCAGTCGCTTGTTAAAAATAGAAACATGTCCAATATCACTACACAGAGCTTTTTGGTTACACACAACTTTTGTGTTCCTCAATTTGAGGCACATTAGGGATATTGACCCATCTGTACATGTATATTGAGTATTCGTGTTGTCCAGAATTCTCTTGTTTCTTATGGTCATGATGATGTCTCTCTTTCTGTAGTTGACAGTCTTTCATAAAATGTTACACTTTTTAATGGCTTGTCAGACTTCTTCTCAGGAAAATTAAACTGGCCTGACAATATTTTTACTGTTCCAGGCAGTAGGGCTTGTAGTTATTTTTAAAGACTGAATGGGACCAGGGGAAAGGGGGGCATGAAAAGGCTTATATAACATGGTAACACACCTATATGTTGACAGCTTCATATTCCCTTAGAAACTGAAACCAGAATCTAATTCATGCTCAAGAAATAATGTACAATTAAACTACTCTGAACTTAACATCTTTTCAGCTGTAATTGTTATGGTTTAGCCATTAACCCTACTCTGAACTAAATATCTCTTCAGCTGTAATTGTTATGGTTTAGCCATTAACCCTACTCTGAACTAAATATCTCTTCAGCTGTAATTGTTATGGTTTAACCATTAACACTACTCTGAACTAAATATCTCTTCAGCTGTAATTGTTATGGTTTAGCCATTAACACTACTCTGAACTAAATATCTCTTCAGCTGTAATTGTTATGGTTTAGCCATTAACACTACTCTGAACTAAACATCTCTTTAGTTGTAATTGTTATGATTCAGCCATTAAACTACTCTGAACTTATAAACATCTCTTCAGCTGTAATTGTTACGGTTTAGCCATTAACACTACTCTGAACATATAAACATCTCTTCAGTTGTAATTGTTATGGTTTAGCCATTAACACTGCTCTGAACTAAACATCTCTTTAGCTGTAATTGTTATGATTTAGTAATGAACACTACTCTGTACTAAACATCTCTTTAGCTGTGATTGTTATGATTTAGCCATTAATAAAATTGAGAATGGAAACGGGGAATGTGTCAAAGAGACAAAAACCCGACCAAAGAGCAGAAAACAGCCCAAGGCCACCAATTGGTCTTCAACACAGCGAGAAAATCCCGCACCCGGGGGCGGGTCTTTAGCTGGCCCCTAAAAAAATGTATACTGGTTCATAGAAAATCCTTTTATATCCAAAGTTATATATACAGAGCTGAGGCCAAAATTTTCCTAAAGGATACCATTATTTCAATTTTCAAACAGCACATTTTTGTGGATTTCTTGACCCAATAAATATGTAAATAATATAACATAATCTCTTATGACTAATGTTCAAATCAAGTGTAAACTGCTAAGAAACACAATGTTTTTCAAAGAATGTCGAGAGTGAAAAACACAAATAATGGAATCAATCACAATTCTTTTCATGGGTTTCAAATTGGGAGTTTTAAAGAAAAATCATGTAGTAATACATGTACTGTATATCCAGAAATTATTGTGTGCATTTATTATTGCGATTTTGTCATTTTAGACTAAACTGCAATTTTAATTTTTGCGGTTTTGAGAAAAATCCTGTTTAATTCATATAAAAAACTTCAAAATGCGAGTTTAAATTATTGCGATTATAACCCTGTCGCATTTTTCGCAATAATAAAAACATCGCAATAATTTCTGAATTTACAGTATATGGATATGAGTCTTTTTGAGTAGTGAAATGGATAGTCGTAAGTTAGACATAATTTGCCAAGAGTTAGACAACACAAGTAATATAAACACACAATTTTCATGAAAATAATAAGATATAAAAGAATGTCTGACTCAGAGAATGTGTCTGATCTAGATAGAGCCTCTCACAGTACATGTACATGAGACATCAGTTGAAAGAGAAATTCCAAAGGGACCATATGTCAAAGCTTACACATTTATCTTTCAAAAAAGTTGTTGAAAGATCAAAAGAATATTTATTGGTATGGCCTTAAATAGATTACTATAGGACATAGCATTTAGTGATTAGATCATGTTTATAATCCATGTAATACAAGGAATCATATGTCTCTTCATTTGAACAATGGTGTATAGTTTTCTCAATCAAACCACATATCCTTATTTTCATACAGTCAAAATTTGTTTTATTGCCGTTTATTTTATTTTCTCATGGTTTAAATTTCGTGCTTTCTCTTCTGAACCTATTAAAGGTTTAATTTTCACACTTTTCCTTATCCATGATTACAAGAATAAATTTACAAAATAAGCAATAATGAACCCCAGCACAAATTTCTTACTTAAGTCATAACAGTATTATTGTGTAACCTTAGTAACCCATTAGGATCACTTCTGTCTTCTTGTATTTATATTAACAACATTATTACACTTTACAATCTGCAACCACTTGAGAAAAAAGCATGACAGAAATCTACCAAACATGCACAGATTCTTGTACATAAAATCATGTGAATCAGAGGAATTTTTTTAGGGTTTCACATACCAAAATATGGACATGTTGGGGCTTTTTATGACTTACAAAATATGGTATGGGTTTTGCTCATTGTTGAAGGCTGTATGGTTGCCTATAGTTGCTTACATTCTGGTCATTTAGTCTCTGGTGGATAGTTGTCTCATTGGCAATCATACCACATCTTCTTATTTTTATTCTGGGAATTCATTTTTATTTGTTAGATACCAATTTTTGTGGATTTCATTAGTACATGTATAGTTGAACCAGGAATTTGAATATTCAACGTTGTACAAATTTTCTATAGGCTAGTATGTACACTAAACCTAAAAATCAAATATCCATGAAACTTAACTACCGAGTCTCTTTTCCCTTAATCCACGAAAATAAATGAATCCACAATATTTATTCATTGCCATAGCCATTTCTGCTTATATCAGTTTGTTAATCTGAAACTTCTGAAAAACAACTTGACAGAATTCTAAAAAGCATACTCATATTTCCTACAGGACATGAAGTTGCATACTCATTTTTCCTACAGGACATGAAGTTGTATACTCATATTTCCTACAGGACATGAAGTTGTATACTCATATTTCCTACATGACATGAAGTTGTATACTCAAATTTCCTACAGGACATGAAGTTGTATACTCATATTTCCTACTGGACATGAAGTTGTATACTCATATTTCCTACAGGACATGAAGTATACTCAAATTTCCTACAGGACATGAAGTTGTATACTCATATTTCCTACAGGACATGAAGTTGTATACTCATATTTCCTACAGGACATGAAGTTGTATACCTGTTATTTGATTATTTTTTTATTCGATTGATGTTGTGTTTTTTTAAGTGAAATATATATGTGTAATCAATATACATGTATATGTCAAAGAAAGATAACTCTATCTAACTGCAATTTTTATACCCAAGAATTTTTTACACATTTGTATTTTTATTTGTAAGGCCTAAATGACTGGTATTGTCTCATGTCAAATGTAATATAATAGGCCTCTTAACCTCCTCAATCAAAGAAGAGTTAATTCGTTGCTTTCCATGTATGTAATCAATATTTGTTTCCCTCTATATCATGCATGTATGATCTAATGCTTCTTGTGGGTCCTTGATTCAAATGAAAAATGGTCAATTGTATATTTTAAATTGTTAACAATATGTATATTTTTAGGGAGAAATTGTATCCAAGGCCTTCCAGGAACAGAGGCAACTTCTAGTGGTAGCTTCTAAGAGCAAGAAACCAGCTGATGTAAGTTATATAATCATTATCTGTAGTTTGATGTTTGCAATGAACTACTGTCATGGCGGTAAACTTGTTACTTTCAGGGACAGATCCAGGAATTGATGTTAGGGGACTGTGCTCCTCAGAATAAGGAGATTGTTGACCATATTATGACAAAAAATTTACTTTTTTTTTTATGCCCCTGCAGTAGCGTAGGGGGCATTAAGTTTTACCCTTGTCCGTCTGTATGTACGTACGAACCTACGTCCCAAAATTGGTTTCCGTTCTCTGACTTGAGTTTGCCTCAACCAAATGTTATGAAACTTATACATAATGCTTATTATCACAATACACAGATCGAGTTTGAATTTTGGTGGTGTCACTTTAACCGTTCGAGAGTTATGCCCCTTTATAAATGTAAAAAATGCAAAATTTTTAGTTTCCGTTCTCTAACTTAAGTTTGCCTCAACCAAATGTTATGAAACTTATACACAATGCTTATTACCACAAAACACAGATCAAGTTTGAATTTTGGTGGCGTCACTTTAACTGTTCTAGAGTCATACCCCTTTATAAATGGAAAAATTGCAAAATTTTTATTTTCTTCTAAATATCAAGATATTTTTAAATTGGAGTTATCTTCCTTTGTCCATGATTATAGTTGAATCAACTACAATCAATGCTTTATACAATGCAATGTTTAATTTTGACTTCCACTGATAAAACACAGATCAAGTTGAATTTGGGTAGTGTCACTTTAACCATTATTGAGTTATGCCCCTTTATAAATCGAAAGATTGCAAAATTTTTAGTTTCCATTCTGTAACTTTAGTTTGCCCCAACCAAACATTATGAAACCTATACACAATATTCATTACCACAAAACTAAGATCAAGTACAAATTTTTTGTTTCCGTTTTCTAACTTTAGTTAGCCTCAACCAAATGTTATGAAACTTATACACAATGCTTATTACTACATAATACAGATAAAGTACGAAATTTGGTGGCGACACTTTTACCATTCTTGAGTAATATCCCTTTATAAACATTAAAATTGCTGAATTTTTCGTTTCTGTTCTCTAACTTTAGTTTATCTCAACCAAATGTTATAAAACTTATACACAACCGTTCTAGAGTTATGCGTGTTTACAAATAGAAAAATTGCTGATTTTTAGTTTCTGTTCTCTACTTAAGTTAGCCTCAACCAAATGTTATGAGACTTACACACACTGCTTATTACCACAAAACTCAGATCAAGTTCAAATTTGGGTAGCGTCACTTTTACCGTTGTTCATTTATGTCCCTTTATAACTATATGATATGCAAGCGGGGGCATCATCTGTGTCCACATGTGGACACTATCCACATTTATTTACCTATAAATTACATTTTCTTTTTATGGCCCTGACACAAAGTGGACGGGGCCATATAGTTTTTATACACCCATTTACGGGACGTATTATGGTATACCGTTGACCTCTGTCCGTCCATCTGTCCGTCCGTCCGTCCGTCCGTCGTCAACATGTCGGACATTAATTCAAAAATGCTTTAACCAATATGCATGAAACTTTGGTTAATTGTTTATATCTATTGCCGTGAGCTCCCTTTCGTTTTTTTATAAATTTCAGATTTACCATTTCCAAGTTTTGGGGTTTTATTCATTAAAAATTCGTAAGGGTTCCATGGAACCCAGTGTCTCGCCTACTTTTGCTGTTAATCGCAGGCTCAACAAAAATGAGGAAAAAAATTAATAAAAATATTCCTCTCTATACTATCTTTGGATTTTAAGTAGCTTCTGTCCAAGTTTGGTAAAAATCCAGGATAGTTAATTATGAATCTAATAAATGTTTTAAAAACTTAAACTGCAGACTGTATGTAATGTTAACTGGAAGAAAAACTAAGTCCATTTATAAGTAAAATACTGAAAAAATGGAACAAAATTTGAACAAAATTTTCTTCTAGATACTAGCTTTTAATCATAAACAAACTTCTGTCCAAGTTTGGTACAAATCCAGGATAGTTAAAGAAAGTTGTTAAAATTTTAAAAACTTTAACCACAGAGTGAATGTAATGTTAACTGGCAGAAAAACTAAGTCCATTTATAAGTAAAATACTGAAAAAATGGAACAAAATTTTAACAAAATTTCCTTCTAGATACTAGCTTTTAATCATAAAAAAGCTTCTGTCCAAGTTTGGTACAAATCCAGGATAGTTAAAGAAAGTTGTTAAAATTTTAAAAACTTTAACCACAGAGTGAATGTAATGTTAACTGGCAGAAAAACTAAGTCCATTTATAAGTAAAATACTGAAAAAATGGAACAAAATTTTAACAAAATTTCCTTCTAGATACTAGCTTTTAATCATAAAAAAGCTTCTGTCCAATTTTCGTACAAATCCAGGATAGTTTAAGAAAGTTGTTAAAATTTTAAAAACTTTAACCACAGAGTGAATGTAATGTTAACTGGCAGAAAAACTAAGTCCATTTATAAGTAAAATACTGAAAAAATTATTTTTTTTTTTTACAAAATTTACTTCTGGATACTATCTTATGATCATAAACAAGCTTCTTTCCAAGTTTGGTAGAAATCCAGGATAGTTTAAGAAAGTTATTAAAATTTCAAAAACTTTAACCACAGAGTGAATGTAATGTTTCCTGGCAGAAAAACTAAGTCCACTTATATGTAAAATACAGAAAAAATGGATTTTTTTTTTTACAAAATTTACTTTTGGATTTTATCTTATGATCATAAACAAGCTTCTTTCCAAGTTTGGTAGAAATCCAGGATAGTTTAAGAAAGTTATTAAAATTTCAAAAACTTTAACCACAGAGTGAATATTTGTGGACGCCAACGACGACGACGCCGACGGAATGTAGGATCGCTATGTCTCGCTTTTTCGACAAAAGTCGAAAGGCTCGACAAAAAAGGGGGGATTTTCCAGTTTTCGGACAATAACTTATAAACAAATCACCAATTTTCATGAAACCTTTGTGAATTGTTCATATATTTTGACTTGAGCTCCCTTTCGTTTTTTATAAATTTCGGATTTATCGTTTCCAAGTTTGGGGTTTTATTCATTAAAAAAGGGGGGATTTTCCAGTTTTCGGACAATAACTCAAACTTATGAAACTTTGGTAAATTGTTTATATCTTTTTTTGTAAGCTCCCTTTTGATTTTTATAAATTTTCGATTTTACATTTCTGAGTTATAAGATTTTATTTGTTTATAGTCTGACAACAGATTTACTAAGTATTGCGCAACAGCACAGTGTATTGCACGACAGCAAGAAATCTTTCATATAACCAATTTCAAGTTCTTTGACTACATTTATTCAGAAACCTATAATATATCAAATATTTAATTACAATCCAAATTCAGACCTGTATCAAGCATTTTTTTTCAAGCTTGAATATTGTGTTCATTTTTGCCCCAACTGTTCAGGGTTGGACCTCTGCGGCCCTATCCAGCTGCGCTCAGCGAAGCAGTTTATTCCCCCATCTGTCATTCCGTCTCATCTACATTTGGTAACAAACAGTTGTACAGACTTTTTTTCTAATCAATTTCACATATTGAGCATATTTTTAGTATGTGAGTTTACAATGAAGAGTTACAGATTGAGTATGGTTCTGCTCCGCTGATTTGTGTCAAAATTACAGGTTTTGGGCTTTGAAAATTTCGTGAAAATAACTGATACTGGATTTTTGTTCTCAAATTTTCCACTCCTAAAATTTGCTTCATGCTTTTTATGCAAGCGGGACCATTTGTGCCGTTCCGACACATCTAGTTCTTTTTTGGAGACTGCCTGCCGGTTGGGCCCCCATCTGAATCCACGCCCAACCTTTTTACTGTATTAAATATTTTCTTTGTTCACAGCCTGTTTGCAGGGGTTTATCCTCCAATTTGTGTAATATTATTCATGAAATATGAATGCTGATTTGGATTTGATTTTCATTGAATATTTGGTCATTTAGCTGCTTCGTGCATGGGATGTAAAAACTATTATACCCCTTAACTTTAAATCTGGACCTCGGTTGCAGAGTGGGCTAAGTAGTTCAATTACTCAACAACTGTATCACTAGCCTGTCAACACTGAGGTTGTAAGTTGGAACACAATGTGTAAGGTGCATTCAGCTTTAATATATATTGACTAGGATTGTCAGTTTTCCTTTCCAAGGTCTGTGGTTCTCTCCTGGAAATCCTGCTTTCTCAACTAATATAAACTAGCCACCAAAAAATAACCAACAGTGCATAAAGTGGTGTTAAACACCAATCATTCAATCAATCAATCAATCATGTACTGCTCAGTGGTTCCCAAGGCTTTGAGAACTCAACTGGACATTTGGTCCAATAAACCATTCTTCTTAACTGGACCAGACTCTTTTTTACAGGACATTTACACATATGATTTAGACTAAATTAAAAATATCACTTGACTGGACCAAACCAATTTTTACTGGACTTTGCCCAATGTCCGGCTACCTTGGGAATGACTGCTGCTGTAGTAATACCTATGCATTTTAACCTCAACTCATCGTCACGTCTCGTCTGTATAAAATCAGTAAACAGGTTTGACTGCATATATTAGCCATGCCTTATTTACATTAAATTTAATGATATGGTTGATATTCCTAAAAGGTTAAAAGTCTCAGTAGTGAAATCAATGGAGGTATTTTAATGTTCTTGTATTGAAGATAATTGATTTAAAAGGCCATTTTAAGTAAATGGGTATTTAAGTTACAGTGTAGTGCTTCTACATCTTAAATGTCATCATGTTCATCTGAATACACCTGCCTGTCACCATTTGATTGACAGATACAAGTTGACAGTGATCAAGGTGAACTTAAAATATTTTAGATGAAAAAAAAAATCCATTTAAACATCTAATTTGAAAAGGGATTACTGATTTAAATAGTGCTTACAATGTCAAAAAACATTAATCAGTCGTGTATTGAGACATTCTTAACATGCAACTGGTTTACCTTATCAAAACATATGTATCAGTCCTGTTTACATTATCAGAAAGCATAAAATGGTCCTGTAAAGAGACATTATGTACTTGTATGATGTTTACATTGTCAGAAAGCATGAATTGTCTTGCATAAAGACATTCTGTACATGTATGTTAACATTGTCAGAAAGCATGAATTGGTTCATGGTAGATACGTTTTACTGTGCGTACTGTTGTACATTTGTTTTTTCTACATTGGCTAGAGGTATAGATGGAGGGTTGAGATCTCAAAAAACATGTTTAACCCCGCCGCATTTTTGCGCCTGTCCCAAGTCAGGAGCCTCTGGCCTTTGTTAGTCTTGTATTATTTTTAATTTTAGTTTCTTATGACGTCCATTATCACTGAACTAGTATACATATTTGTTTAGGGGCCAGCTGAAGGACACCTCCGGGTGTGGGAGTTTCTCGCTGCATTGAAGACCCATTGGTGGCCTTCGGCTGTTGTCTGCTCTATGGTCGGGTTGTTGTCTCTTTGACACATTCCCCATTTCCATTCTCAATTTTACATTCTGTACATGTATAATAAAACAGAGAGTGGAAATGGGGAATTTGTCAAAGAGACGTTACAACCCTACACAAGAGTAAAAAAACAGCCCAAGGCCAGTAATGAATCATGGAGAAAATCCTGCACTTGGAGGCGAGCTTCAGCTGGTTCTAAACAATAATGTACCTTAGTTCAGCAAAAAAGTCTCCACACTAAACTCAATGAACCAAAATTTAAAAAAAACATACAGGACTAACAAAGGGCTTAGGCTAGAGGTTCCTACTTGGGACAGGTGCAAAAATGCAGCAGGGTTAAAAATGTTTTAGGACTACTAGCATTTTAAATACTGACATGCCAGCTCCAGACTTCAATTAAACTGATTGAAAGATTATGTCTTTATCATATGAAAATCAACCACAATTCCTCCTGTCTAAGGGGTTTTAAATAATCATGTCATCATAAATATACCAGAAGAACATAACCCATATCATGCCAACAATTGTTTTTGGAAAAATGTGTTTATTTCCAATGCAAAGACCCTATATGACATGTATGAGTGAGTCAATTAATTCCAAAAGATGCTATCTTTAATGACATGACAACAGAGATTTCAAAATTTTATTTTCTCTGGTGGTCCTTAAAGAAAATCTGCTGACTCTCACTATTATTTCTATTGCAAAATTCCAAAATTGTGTCAGTCCTTTGCTATTTTTGGTTTTCAAAACCTAAGGACCACCACTTTTCGAGAACTCTGTGAAAACAGTATCGTAACTACATAAGTCTGTTTAACAGTTTGGTTTAAACTATTGAGGTGAATAAAGACATTTTTGTGCTTTGTATAGAATATTACCATAAAAGATGTGAAATACCTGAATGTATAAGATGTCTGCATGTGATCTATATTTACGAATAATGTCCTTGTCATATATGTTTACATTATCAAAAAGCCTTTAAATGAGTCCAGTGTAAAGAGATATCCAGTGAATTTAAACCTGACTTTGATATATGGTCTCATTTAACATTTATAATGAGATGATTAGATCCCTTTTGATCTTGAGGTCACAATATGAAAGGTCAAGGTCATAAACCAGATATAATATTGTGGCATTTAACATTTATAAACAAACCAAAAACTTTAAAATTGGTATTTTCTGCTTCTCTGTTAAACACACAACATTAAGTAGTAAGAAGAAAGACTGGTCAGCTTGGAGTCAGAATAATATATCTGGGTAAGGTGACATGCCTTCCTATGGACTTACCTGTGAACTAGCATGTTAAAAATTCCAGCTCAGCATGTCGGCCTAGTACAAAGCGGGGTTCATATTCATTTCCAATTAACCTGTTCTGGTCCTGAATATTAAATTTAATTTGCCACTGGAAGTTAATCAGCCATCCTTTCATCCCTCCGATGTCATATAGTCTTCATCATCTGCAACACGCAGATTATTCATGTAAATACCAACAATATAGATATTCAGACAGGAATGCCCTTGTCTAGATAGCATGTGAAGTAACAGTGTTGGACTGACAGACATTTGTCTAGACAAATACATGAAGTTATATTATAGCACAGACCCTTGTCAAGCACAGACACTTGTCTATGATAGATAGATACATAAAATGATACTGTAGCACAGACCTTTGTCAAGTAAAATCTCTTGTCTGAATCCTAGTATGAGTGGGACCTCAATATTCGTTCAGATTTCTTTGAAAAATGCTACATGTACTTCTGGTTATATATATATATATATATATATATATACAGCAATATATATTAGAGACACTTTAAATGATATTGGATTTATGGTGTTTCTTTCTGAAGTTTAGATTTAAAGAATAGTTAAAACAGTTAGTTAAAATATGATGTGATAGATGTTAGGATACAATGAAATGCCATCTAGATAATCAAACACCCCCTTTTTTTCGTCACATCTTTCTCAGGAACTACAATACAAGGATTTCTGAAATTTGGTTTCAGGGTTTATATAAGTCAGCTATACCGTGTGATGCGTTTTCAGATTGATCACTCAACAACTTCCTGTTTACCGAACACTTACACCATTTTACACAACATATCCAAGTTGAAAATTTTCGTCACATTTTTCTCAGGAACTACATTACAAGGATTTCTGAAATTTGGTTTCAGTGTTTATATAAGTCAGCTATACCGTGTGATATGTTTTCAGATTCATCACTCATCAACTTCCTGTTTTCTGTCAAGTATTTGGGCTGGGGGTATCATCAGTGAGCAGTAGCTCTCAGTTTAACTTGTTTTACCAATTTTTTTCATTATCGCTGATTATAGTGGAAATTAATTAATAGACATAAACTTTATGTAGCTAAAATGATCAGCAAGACAAGATCTACAAGTAAGTCTCATGGCTGAAATTGTCAATCAGTTTCTTTTTGTAGCAATTTGCAGCCCTTTTATTATCATTTTTACCATGTTTTTGAATATTTGCCTATTATCTTGAAAACTATAATAGATAGATATATTTCAAAAGCAAAAATGAGTAGTAAGACAGGATCTTCAAATAAGCATGATAAGTCAATTGCGGAAATCGTCAGTTGACTCCTTATAAGAGTTATCACCCTTAGATGACAAATTTTTTTTTACCATTTTGTTTTGTTTTTGCCTATTATCTTGAAAACTGTAATAGATAGATAGAAGCTTATAAAGCAAAAATGATCTACAAGACCGCATCTACAAATAGGTCAGGGAACATGTAGATGAACTAGTCAGTTGTCTTACCCTTAAATGATGATTTTAACACTTTTTGTGTTTTGGGCAAAAACTATAGAAGATAGAGAGAAAACTCAGCAAACAGAGAAAAGTCTTTCGCCAATACAACAGCCACAAAAAAGAGATTTTGAGTCATGAATAATATTCCAGTCTAAAATGTTGTAGAGTGTCTATTGAAAAAGATGCACATAGACCTAGGTGAGGGACACAGACTCTTTAGAACCTCTAGTTAGAATATTGTATGTGTATGTTTTGAAACTTGTTATGGTAGGATATATTTCCTCAAATAAAATTGTGTTCAAGTAAATATATAGGCTAATGATAATTCTGTTAACTTTACAGGGAGATTTGGCCAAGTTGTTACAGCCATTATCAGACTGTATCAGTGCTGCAGTGGTATGTATATTTTTAAGTTCATCTGTACAGTCCAATCTGCCTGAAAGAGAACTTCTCTGGTGGAAAGTTGTCTCATTAGCCACATCTTCTTACAATAAATTCAGAAACTATTGGGATTTTATTTTATTTTTATTATTGCAAAAATGGGATATGTTTTGCAAAAATGAATACTAATAATTTTAGTTCAATATATAGTATTATTTGTATTCAGCATTTCCTTAAATTGCAATAATAAATTTTACATTTGTGTCTTTTGTTGAAACAGCCAATAATAAATTGATGCAAAAATATCTGAATTTTCAGTATTTATTTTTATTTTGTCTACCAAACGACAAATTTATGTATTAGATAAAGGGCATACTGCTTCTGCTTACCTAAGAGGCTTTACTTCAAAGGTCTAACTTTTTAAAGTTATAGAGAAAACAATGTATGTACATTTATAAGACAGCATTCAGACAAGCAGGCTCTTTATTTTGAATGTTGAGAAGCTATCCAAAGAGGAATAACTCTTACCTGTTATTGCGAAAGTAAATTTTCTGTCATGAGAAAAAATAATTAAAAAATTCATGAAAAAATAGCAATTACACTAACTTTTTGAGGATGTCACTTGGGGGGGGGTGTTAGATATATGCATTAAATCAATATGAATAAATGAAGATATTGAATTGAATTAGACAGCTACAAAACCACACAAAATATCAAAATACATCTTTTATTTTAGTGAACTTATAAAGTTTGTGCACATAAGTATGAAGTTATAAACATTGTATAATCGTGATTATAGACATCAGTGAAAAGGTTTTTTTTTTTTATACATGAACATGGGGATAAAGTTTAATAGCCCAATTACGTATTTGTGGCACTCTCCTAATTTAGGAACAAAACCACTATTTCAAAGCCCCATTATGTTAAATTCTGCAATTTCAAGCATTAATGACTACTTTGTCTTAACTTCAAATATAGTGGCAGTTATTTCATGTCAAAACTATACCTTATCCTGACTTTTGCTGAAAAATTCAGTATACCTTTATTTGCATATTCCAGCGCACTGGTTCCCGGAAGTTTGATAGTTCAAAAACAGATACTTCAGATCTGAACAACAGGGCAAATGTGCCCTCCTATTAAAATTTCATATATTTTTGTTTTATTCGATATTAACTCAAAAAAGGGTCCTAGAGTGATTCCAAGTTCTTAAGCTTTCATTTGATACCAAATTTTCCCAAATATTTTACTTATTGACAAAGTTACAGCTATGCGTAGGAACTATTTTGTTTAAAATATGTACTATTTTCTTGTATGTTCTTTCTGACCGGGCCCCAATTAGTGGTTCTATACCTTTAGAACAATCATTGGCTCCTTTTCAACTGATAGGTTATGTATTTGATACATCTTACACAACTACATGGATACCTTTACATTTTGCATGGATACCTTTACATTTTGAAAAAGAGTATTTTCTGAAATGCCACTTCAACAACCACCAGCATATACAGACAACAGTGTCTCTTCATTTTAAAAACATTTTATTAGGGTAGTCGCTCTGTCTGTCCATCAGCACCTCTTTGGTGTAAGGTAAGTCAAGATTGCCTCAAACAATTTTATCATTTTTATGCAGTGTTTATACCCATAAAAGAAAGGTCCTTTTGTTTTTTGGTGAAAATTGGACAAAAATTGTTATAAAAACTGTTTTTGTTCAAAAATTATAAATTTTGAGAAACATCTTTTTTGCTAGTATATCAACAAAATTTGACATTAATTTTATAATATGCTATTCAAAATCATTTCCAATGACAAAAAATTATCGATTTTTTAATTTTTTTTTATTTTTAAAATACACAAAGGAGAAGGGGCAATAAGGCCCTTATTTAGGCCAAATATCAGTGTAAATTGAAAAGTTACCGTACATATTCTTAAATTTGTCCTAAATACACTAAGGTACAAGGTGTTCAGAAAATAAAAACAAATTTCACGAATTACTATAGCAACAAACCATGACAAAATTTGTATATTTTGTAAATTTTCTTGATTTTCCTTGTTTAGCTCACCGGGGCCCGAAGGGCCCCATGTGAACTTATGCCATCACTTGGTGTCCATCGTCGTCTGTCGTCGTCGTCTGTCGTCATAAACTATTTCAAAAATCTTCTCCTCTGAAACTACTGGGCCAATTACCTTCAAACTTTAACTAAATGTTCCTTAGGGTATCTTGTTTATAAATTGTATCTGAAGTTTGTATCCATCGACAAACATGGCCGCCATGGCTAAAAATAGAACATAAGGGTCAAATGCAGTTTTTGGCTTATATCTCAAAAACTAAATCTTTTAGAGCAAATGTGACATGGGGTAAAATTGTTTAATTGGTCAAGATCTATCGGCCCTGAAATTATCAGACGAATCGAAACTGTAAGCAGCAATAATGTTCAGACAATTTTACACCATTTGTTCATCAAGTTTGCTAACATTTAAAAATCTTCTCCTCTGAAATACAGGTGAGCGATTCAGGCTCTTGAGAGCCTCTTGTTTACATCAACTTATAAAAGCATATATTAGATCATTGGAAAGTATGTGCGCACACAAGAAACACCTTTATATTTGGTGAGAATATGTCAATACTTATATAAAAGCTTCTCTTAAATTATTTTGTTGTTTCTTGCCTGCGCACAATGTTTCCACAAATGAAATGATGATGGAAAACTGCATAAACTTTTCTATGTTTTCATGAAAACGGTACATATTATTATGTAACTGCGACGCCTCAACATCAAAAATCTTATAATTTTCATTTATATTTCTTGATTTTATGCATTTCCAAACATTATGTGCAAATTTGAAATAGTTCTCAAAAACTTTATTTTCTTCGTCGAAAACCAGGCCTTAATGCCCCTACTCCTTTTGATAAACAACTTTTTTTGCTAGGATTTTAATGAAAATTGATTTATAGGTATGATATTCTTTTGTATATCATGTATATTGATTCCAGGTGTTAGAAATTAAAATGTGCTAAAAAGCTCTCGTTTAAAAAATCAAAACTTTTAAGAAACATCTTTTTGTAAAAGAATTTAAATAAACATTGATTTATAGGTATTATAAAATAATCAAAATTGTTTCCTGGTGTCAAAAAATGATTTTTTTTTAGTGTAAAGTGTGTCATACATGTGTTTAAAACTTATTTTGTTATAAAAATCACAAATTTGAGAAATGACATCTTACATGCATGACAGGATTTCAACAAAAATTGATATGTAGATGTAATAAATTATTTTAAAGTGAAGGTCCCAAAAAAAATAGTAAAAAATGGTATACATTAATTACTACATGTATTCTTAAAATTCACAAATTTTGAGAAACATAATTTTATGTCAGGATTACAATAAAATTGATATAAGAGTATATATTTAACTATTCCAAATTGTTTGTTAATGTCAAATATGGGGTAAAAAGAAAACTTTTGTTAGAAAAAAATCAAAAATTTTGAGAATCATATTTTTGTGTTGGGATTTCAATGAAAATTGATAAATATTGTATAGGTATAAAATGTGTTCCAAATTGTTCCCTGATGTCAAAATTGTGGTAAAAACTTGGTATTAGTTTTGAAAAAAAAAACATAGACAAAATAGCACCTCCTTTGAAAAACATTTGAGTTTATATTTGTATGATAACATTAAGACTGCATTTTTTATAAGTTGTTCAAAAAGTATTGTATGTTATGATATGCTTATATAGATTATGAGATCACTTGCCTCTATTTTTACCATTGTGGACTCTTATGCCTTCTCCCCCCCTTTCTCTAACCCTGGATCTGTCCTTGATATTCTTTCTTTACTATTATAGAAAAATTTCAGAACAAATCACACCAAGGAGATTGCTCAATATCTTCAAAATTTCTAAAAATTTGCTAAAAATGTAGAAAACAGCATTTTTTGATCAAGAAAGTATTCTTGCACTTTAAGAGTTAACATTAGATTTGCTGTAAAATGTTGAATGTTAAACATTATAAATTCTTGTAATTCTGAATCAGAAGGATAATTTTTCTATCTGAACGAAGTATCGTTTAAAAACCTCTTAGGAATGGTCTCATTTAACCCATCTTTTAATGTTTCATGAATTAAAAAATCATTACCACGGATACCAATGAAGTAAATTATTATTTTCCTTGTTTTCGTTTGATCTTCTGAAATTTTCTAGTCCGACAATTTCTCTTTGTTTAATCTTTTGCAAATTAAAAATAATACACTTTCTAATAATTTATGACATATCTAGTTCTTTTTATTACCTAATTATGAATTTATGATCTTTAAGAGATTTTTTCCCATTCTCTATGAGAAAATGATCCTGCTATTTTTGAAGCAATGAAATTGTTTATATTTTATCCAGGGCCTTTTCCTTTGATATCAATTATTTTTTCATGTGATGTTGGTTTTTTTTTAACAAAAATAAATACGCTGGCTGTTCTAATGGATTTTGGAACTCTTATTTATTGTTGTTTCACAAAAGTTTTAGAGATGTGCTTGTACCTGAACAGTTCCTATCACCTTGACATAGCCCACGCCACATTTTTACGTGGCTTCAAACCCTTATCAATCAGTCTCTTCATCAATGATAGCCTATAGTTGCTTACATTACTGCCATTTGGTCTCTGGTTGATAAATGTAGTTGTCTCATTGTCAATTATACCACATCTTTTAATTTGTATACTAAGTAAACTTAATTTATGATTTCAGAACTTTAGAGAAGGAAACCGTGGAAGTCAGTTTTTCAACCATTTGTCAGTCCTGAGCGAATCCTTGTCAGCTCTTGGATGGGTTTCCGTGGTGAGTTTGATATAAAAAGACTTGATATATAGATAAACAAACACACAATATAATAAATTACTAAATGCCTAATTGATCTAATCACATTTTCATTAAAAGTTAACATTAGTAATAAATTCTTAGTTTATAAATAAAAACAATAGAATCAACAGTCAATGTTCATGGTAGTGTCATTGTATCAAGGCCATTGTTATATTTTGAGGGGTCAGCGCTGGATAGTGATTCAGCATTGTAATATTTTGAGGGGTCTCCGCTGGATAGTGATTCAGGCATTGTTATATTTTGAGGGGTCTCCGCTGGATAGTGATTCAGGCATTGTTATATTTTGAGGGGTCTCAGCTGGATAGTGATTGAGCCATTGTTATATTTTGAGGGGTCTCCGCTGGATAGTGATTGAGCCATTGTTATATTTTGAGGGGTTTCTGCTGGATAGTGATTCAGGCATTGTTATATTTTAAGGGGTCTCCGCTGGATAGTGATTCAGGCATTGTTATATTTTGAGGGGTCTCCGCTGGATAGTGATTGAGCCATTGTTATATTTTGAGGGGTCTCCGCTGGATAGTGATTGAGCCATTGTTATATTTTGAGGGGTCTCCACTGGATAGTGATTCAGGCATTGTTATATTTTGAGGGGTCTCCGCTGGATAGTGATTCAGGCATTGTAATATTTTGAGGGGTCTCTGCTGGATAGTGATTCAGGTATTGTAATATTTTGAGGGGTCTCTGGTGGATAGTGATTCAGGTATTGTTATATTTTGAGGGGTCTCCACTGGATAGTGATTCAAGCATTGTAATATTTTGAGGGGTCTCCGCTGGAAAGTGATTCAGGCATTGTAATATTTTGAGGGGTCTCCGCTGGATAGTGATTCAGGCATTGTAATATTTTGAGGGGTCTCCACTGGATAGTGATTCAAGCATTGTAATATTTTGAAGGGTCTCCGCTGGAAAGTGATTAAGGCATTGTAATATTTTGAGGGGTCTCCGCTGGATAGTGATTCAGGCATTGTAATATTTTGAGGGATCTCCGCTGGATAGTGATTCAGACAACACTTTGAGTTGAGCCATTTGCCAGTAAAGCAAGATTTACTAAAACTAAGTACTGGTATTTGATAGAGTTAGTCAATTTCTTCTCAAAGTGTGTGGTCTACCTTGGAACTCTTGATTTTCTTCACCAATTAAATAGACTGATATGAATGTAGAAACTGTTGTATTTAGAACCTTGACAAACTATTGATTGATTGTGTTTAATGCTACTTTCACTTTCATCACATTTGGTTACATCGTGGTGGCTAGATTTAAATGCTAGAGAAAGCTGAAGAGAACAACAGACCTTTAGCCCTGACAGAAAAAAAAAAAACTTAATTTGCATATAATATACATGATATATTAACAGGAATATTGAATATGAAAATAACAGGTGAAGTAATTAATATATTGATGAAACTTTCATGCCTTTGTGTGTGTTTTTATTTGATAGGCACCAACACCAGGACCATTTGTCAAAGATATGGCTGATGCCGGCATGTTTTACTCCAATCGTGTTCTTAAAGATTACAAGGGGAAGTAAGTTCATGTGGTTATGGCTGTATTCTGGTTGTCAACTGGTATCCGTTAACCCTATCTAGTGATGCTTTTATACTGAAATTCTAAGAAATTATAATTTTATCAAATGTAGACAGCATATTATATTCTGGACTTCAGTGGTTCTTAACTAAAAATGGCTTAAAAATTTCGAGTAGATATATGGAAACTGGAAACTGAACTAATTATTTTTTTACATTGCAAGGAATCTTGAGAGATAACATACAAAATGACAAAAACTCCCATCACCTTTATATCATTATCAGATTTTAAACTAGACAGACATTACAGTGCATTCCATCTTTTCTTTCTTATTCAATTAAAAAATACCAGCAAGCAATGATTTTATTACAGAAACATCATAAATGTTTCATTGCTAATTAAACTTCAAACTTTGTAAACAAAAAACTCCCTCAAACTTTCACCTGCATCAGCAAAATGGATGAATGGTGTTTTATCTTGTCCTGCTGTTAAAACACTTAAACGATCCATCTATCATTCACTTTAATGCTTTAAATTTGCAGTGCTAATTATCAAGTACTCAAAACATTTAACTGATCTGTATATCAAATTAAGGGTATTGGAAAAGGTATTTCTTTATGTTCTAACTTGTCAAAATTGATGTTTTTACATTACTTTTTTCTTTTAAAACTTCAGAATTATTTAAGATCTTTTCTGCAAATTGGTTTCTTTTATTGTTTTGACAGAGTTGTTTGTGTTTTTGTTTTTTTTAAGAAAAGGTAGATCTGATGGCTTTCTTGTGCAAATTGAAATCATCTTGAGACAATTTGTAGTGCTTTTCTACAGTGCTTAATTTTAAGCTCTGTAAAGATTTTGTGTTGAAATGTTTATCCGAAGTTTAAACAGATTTTAAATGCTGGTTTCATTTGTTGAACTTATTGCCAAAACCCTGCTTACAGATGTAATAGTAGCTTTAATACTGTAAATTCAGAAATGTTTGCCTGAATTTATTACTGAAATTGTTGAATAATGGACACAAATCTGAGTTTTGTTATTTGATTTTATGAAGTTTTCATATCAATAGTGCTATCAAAATTTAAAATGGAGTTAATTTTTGCGTTACTTTTCCCTTCACAATTTTTGCAAAAAATTACGAATTTACAGTATTCACAATATTTGTTTTCCCGAATTGTGAACCTGAATAGATTTATGATAGACTTTTAGTGATAAACATTATTTGATTTTTTTTCAAGGAAGTTAAAAACCTAAAGCTATAATTATAGTAAAATTTATAAATTTAGAATTGAGACAGTTTAATATATTATACAATAATGATGTTTCTATTCCTATGGTATAAATGAAACATTATTATATTGACCAAACAGAAGTATATTGATCGAGGACAAAATCTGTGGTCAATGTTTTTTCCACAGGTCAATATAATCTTCATTTTTTGTTTTTTTAATGGTTAGCCAATTAAATATTGAGGAATTTTCAGATTTAAGATTTGAAAACTCTTGCTTTTTTTTTCCCTGTTGAATTTAACTATATATAAATGAATCTGTCTTATATTTCTAATCTCTAATTAAAGTAAATGGCTCTGGCTGCCATAATAGGAATATAAGGAGATGTGGTGTGATTGCAAATGAGACAACTATCCACCAGAGACCAAATGACGTAGATGTTAGCAATTATAGCTCACCAACAATGAGCAAAACCCATACCAGATACAAAGCTATAAATGACACCATCATGATCAAATGTGAAACAATTCAAACGAAAAAAAAACTAACCTCCTGATTAATAACAATTAAACAATGAATGAAAAAAAATGAATGACTTTGGATAAAGTTTTCAAAAAATGGTGGTCCTAAGGTTTTGATCACCAAAATTTTGCAAAGGACTGACACAATTTTTCGGAATTTTGCAATAGAAATAATAATAGTGAGGACCAGCAGATTTTCTTCAAGGATCACCATGGAAAATAAGATTTCAAGAACTCTTTTGGGACAGATGCACAACATTATTTCAAGCTGTAGAGCTTTTAATATAATCAATACAATGCCTTACTTGTCTAATATCTTTCTGTCTTAAAGAAAAATTTGCAGCTAAAGAAAGATAACTCTGGATTTCAGTTAAAAAAAAAACTCATTAGATAAGATGATATTTAAGATTTCATCAGTTCAAACTGATAAAAAAGCGATTATCTTGTAAACAAATTTTTTTCGTTAAAAGTACAGATATTTTGAAGGTTTTATTTACATGTTTCAGATGTTTTAAAATAAATCAAGTTTTATTTACTTAATTGAAGAACAGACTAAGTGTTATTGAAGAGCTCATTTTTAACATCCATTTACACTTGAGACAAATAATTTTAGATAGAATTGAAAATCTTTGAAAGATACCAAATAGTTTAAATTGTAAGGAGAATTCCTGTCATTGCATTATATAAATCAAACAAAGATATCTTAAGTCCTAGGAAATTTGTAGATTTACTTTTTATCCTGATAATCAAAGTTTAAACTTGAGACGAATAATTTTAGATAGAATTGAAAATCATTGAAAGATACAAAATAGTTTAAATTGTAAGGAGATATTCTGTCATTGCATTAAATAAATCAAACAAAGATATCTTTAGTCTGAGGAAATTTGTAGATTTATTTTTTATCCTGATAATCGAAGTTTGAGGGTTTGTTTTGTTTCCTGCTACTAAACCCATAAATTGAATAGATTTTTCTAATGTTAGGATGAAGACAAATGAAGATTTTTTAGGTTTAAAAAATGAAATATCCATTATGAATATTAATGATATTCCTTGAAACCTAAGTGTTTAAGTCTAAATGTTATAAAATGTAGACAAATTTAGAAACAAATAAGTATACTTTATGAATATTAATAATATTCTTTTAAACCTATGTTTGTAAGTAGACAATTTCAATAAAAAAAATATATACTTATGAATATTAATTATAGTCCTTGAAATCTCAGTGTGTTAAGTCTAAATGTCCTGAATGTGGACAAATTTAGAAAACACAGGGTTAGAAGTTTATAAAATATATCTTTAGATTAAAAAAAAAATGTTACTGTTGTATTGTATGAAGGTCATTTCCCTAGAGTTAACTTTAACCTCTGACCTCTATTAGACATGCAAAATCCCCCAAAACTAACCTACCATTGTCATTGATGTTGGTTTATGAATGAGGAGATCACAAGACAACTAACCACCAGAGTAGAAATGACGTGGATGTATGCAATTATCTGTTTTGATTTGACACAACTGGTAAATACAGTCAAACCTGTTTTAAAGGTGTCTCTATTGATTACAATCCTATCTTGTCAGGTCCCCCTCGTCTTGTCCCTTGGCAGTAATACCTATGTATTTTAATCCTGCATTCAAAGTTCACCATTCTTATAAGGTCAGTTTTCTCTGGTTCAAAGTTTGACCTTTCTGTACAGAAAATTTAAAAACTAAGACTAACATTTTTATATTTCAGAGATGAGAACCATGTTAACTGGGTAAAGGCATGGTCATCCACTCTGTCAACACTTCAGAGTTACATCAAAGAAAACCATACCACAGGCTTGTCATGGAATCCACAGGTAAGCTTTCACCTGTAAAAAAAGACCATCTGTCATTGAGATGGTTAATGGTTTAAAGGTATGGACCATTTAACTCGGCCATATTTATAAATAGGCATTTAGTGATCACCTAATGTTGTTTTGCCCGACCTGCTTGGATTTATTTTTTTATGTAAAAACTAGACATGAAGTATGATTGACCTGTCTATAGAGAATACATGTCTCCATTCACCTGTAAAAAAAATAAGAAAAGGCTGTTATAGTTTATAGTCAAAAGCATACTTATACTACTAAAGTACTGGTATAATTTTTTTATTTTACTTTTCATCATTCTTGCAAAATTCTATAAAAGAAAATGTAACCACCCACAATTTATTAATTTGAGTGCCTCCATTCCCCATGTGTTTAAATCTGGAACAGCCCTGAATAATTTTACCATTGCATGTTTTTTTTTTAACAAAAGGTAGTAATACACTTTATCATCTGTTGACTCTCCTGAAACAAAACATTATTTTAGTCTTCCATAGATTTGCAAAAAAAAACTGAAGAGTCTTTAAAACAATAAACTCTCATAAACTTACAAAAAAGTAGCTGTTTATAAAAATAATTCAAGCTTGTAAACAAAATAACAACGAAATTTTAATGACTTGAAAAAAGGCTGTTCATGCATTGATTGTAGTATAAAATTTAACCTGTTCAAAAGATTACGAGCCAGCGATTTATGTTATTTAGATCAAAATTTTCAGATTTGAAATTCCTAGCTGTTCGCTACTGTCAGTATCTCATTTTAATGAGTTGAAGTTAGCCCCCAAGTGGGTTAGAAATCATATTTGAATGAAAATTACTCGATTCTTACCAATCTTATCAAATTTGAGTCTGCCTTTTCAAACAATTAATTTTGTTCAAATGATAGGTCATGTGTGGCTTGTATATGGTTGATAGATTTGAATAATTTAAATTTACCAGCTGTCAGAAAAAGACTAAAATGTACATTTATAAATCTTCTTTATCATTAGTCTCTTTATCACAGGTTTAGCTGCAGTCTTCAAGGAAAACTTTTTTACTTGAAAGACGGAAAATTATTCTTTTGTAATTTTTTTTTAAATTTGTATGGCTTGTGAGGCCTCTTTGCAGGAAAAGTTTTCTGGTCAGACAACATTTTTACTGGCCTTGGCCATAGGGCTTAATTTGAATCGTAAAAACTGACACTAAAATTTGCACTATATCTTCATTGTCCAACAAGCAGTCTGTTTGAGACTTGGTGGACTGATACGTATATCAGTTAGACCTGAAGAATACTTGCCCTCGTTTTCAGTAAATTAGTGCAATTTTAAGTGAAACACAGCTGTTTGACAATTACAGAGATTATGTTGTAAGCTGTTATGGAAAGATGATAAGAAAGTTCTTGATATACCTCATTTTATAAAAAAAATCATATACTTAAATTTATTGTAAGTATAGTCAGATATTGGATCCTCAGTTTAACATTTAAAGGCTTTCTGGAAACAGACTACATTAATCACAAATACTTTTTTTTTTGAACAATGAAATTTTTTTTTTTGTGAGAACAATTGGCAATCTTTCTTCTTTTCTTGTTTGTTTTTGGATATTGTCTGTCATTGTAAAAAGTTATTATTCAGGAAAAAAACCCACACATACTGTTAATTTTGTGGCATTTGATATTTGAATTTTTAAATAAAGTAAAATGCAAGATTAATTATAGCGATTTAAGGTAATGCTGCAATAGAAATAATGCTATCAAAATTTTAAAATGCAAGTTGTGTTTTTTGTCTGAAACATGTAATTTAGTAATATTTGCAATTATAAAAACATTGCAAAAGTTTCTGAATTTACATCACTCTGTTACATACCTAGCACCAAGGTCGTTACATACCTAGTTCCAAGGTCGTTACCCTCAGCTCATATTAAAATTTTGACATGTAATCAAAACTTATGTTTCAAAATAAATAGATAATGTTTAAACTTTTTTAATGAAAACAACTAGTAGGTGCCATATGTCTTTCCTATTAAACTTATTTGTAACGAAATACAATGTACCACGAAACTTCCCACTTCCTCCAGAAAATCTTGTATCCGAGGTGATGTTTGAGAATGCTTCGATTCACGATGATATCTTAAACACATGGTCTGATACCTTAAAATTCATATAATACTTTACCTAAACCTGTTCGGGCATGGAGAAATAATCTCATTTCCAAAGTGTTGATGAATCATAGAAACTTGTTCAAATTTTCGTTTCCTAGATGAAGATTCAGGAAGTTAATTAGATGGGTATTTGACCTCGGAAGATGTAATTAAAAAGAAAAAAGTAATTACGGTTATGTAGTTGTTTGTAATCGGATGATTTGTGATGTTACCTCTATTTTGTATCATGCATAATGTAATGAAAGACACGGATGGAGCTGGTGCAATCTTGAAAGTTCACAAGAGGTTGTTTCTGACATATTTTTCTTGCTCTTTCATTTCTTTGAATGTTACGTTCTTCATTGAATTATCTAAGTCTAAATTAAAATATATATATATAATGGAAAAGAAAGGATTGACATAACAATTCATGTCACAAAATCTCTACATACACATTCGTCTTGAACATGCATGAAATATTTGCCACTGGATGTTAATCAGTCTACATACATGAAAAACCAAAAGAAAGAAACAATGCTTTTATTGCTGTTCTTCATCCCAAAGTCACACAAGCCTTTAACAGAGAGCAGAATTTAATTACCTCACTACAAGCTCAAGGGGTCTGCGCTTGAGCGGAATTCTTTGCAGGATGTTGACCATGCTACAGCTGTTCATTGAAAAACACATCTGTGGGGTAATATCAACAAATTAGAAATAATATATGTCCAAGACATCTAACAACTAAACAAATACCAGTAGTTTTAATTTTATAAAGAGTAAGTTCCACTTAGAAGACATATTTTTTTGGGGTACTTATTTTGTGTTTTGTTAAGGTAAATCATGAATTTGAAAAAAAATTGCTGGTCCAATCTATATGTATATATATAGGATAGGCACAGGGAACCAGTAAGAGGTTTTGCCCACTATGCACAGGTGTAACAATTCACCTGAAATGTATTATGTATTAACCTACTACATACCCCTTTTCCCTAAATTTAAAATTATCAAGTGTTTATTTTCCAGGAATGTATCAAGGTGTTTTGGCAATGTTTTTTTTTAATGCCTTTGAAGTAGTTTTTTTATACCAAAACTGGTCATTTGGGTCATACAGGAATTAATTTTAGTTGGATTAGTTGATAACTTGGTGTATTCTGTATGCTTTTTAGTTAATTCTCATCTGAATATTGCATTATTTTTTACTCTACCCTAAGAATTGCTAAGCAAATCAATGTTTTCTGTACCTTTATGAAAACGTTAAAAAAATATCTATCAGCATCTTATGTAAACATCATACTGTATCCCTGTATTGATACCTGTATACAGAGATAACAGTACATCCAAGGTTAAAGGTTATCAGAGCATATAAGTGCAGTGGAACTCTGTTGTAAACAGGAATATTTTCACAGCTTGTGTTATGGCAAGATGGACTCTCTCTCTTCTGATCAGAGAAGCATCAAAGTTTGTGTCTAGGAAATCAGTATATAAATATTAGTAATATAAAAGTCATTCGGGAAAAATGATTAAAGTATGGGCAAATCATTTGTACAGCGGAATCTGACTTACCAGAACTTATTTTTACATTTTAGAATAAGAAATAGCAATGTTCAAAATATACCAGTATTTAGAAAAAAAACAATGTCCATATGTTGTTTAAATTTTTGAATTATTGATCTTGTAGTCATGTAAAATGTGCATGTTCTCTGCAGTGGACTTGTGATTTGAAATTATAAATAATTCATCTTCTTCTTTTAAAGTAAAACTGGCCACTTTTGAGAGAACCCCCTTCAAAACAATCCTTGTGGAAACAATTGGTATTTCAAGTAAAATGAGTTATGACGTCCATTTTCATTGAACTAGTACACATTTTTGTTTAGGGGCCTGCTGAAGCCCGCCTTCGGGTGTGGGATTTTTCGCTGTGTTGAAGACCTATTGGTAGCCTTCGGCTTTTTTCTGCTCTTTGGTCAGGTTGTTGTCTCTTTGACCATGTTGACACATTCCCCATTTCCATTCTCAATTTTATTATAAAAACTATAATTTAAAATGATAGCCTAAGTTAATATTTATCCTGGTAACATATATATATATGTATGGTTCATCTTTCAAGATCCTCAATATTTATTAAACACAGGATGAGACAATTATTCTACTGTATCAACAAATAGTGATGAGTCTGCAGTTTTTACAAACATAGAATTATTTAATTCTTGTATTATCAGTTTTGTGAAAGGCTAATAATAGCCAAGAGTACATGTTAACTTTAAACTTTAGAAAGAGAGGTAATTAAGTAATTAAAAAACAATATGTGCTTAAACAAAAAGATGTGCAAATGTATGTCAAATATTGAAATACTTTGTGCGTTATTTGATATTTCACAAAAACTGAAAAAAGTCCAACAAATTTGCAGCAAATCAGATTTGAAATGAACAAGCTATTAAATTCCAAACTGGAAACTTACAACACTTTAAAATTGAAATCAAGATGAAAATCTCCTTAACATTTACAAAGAAACATGTTGATGTAATTCTTTTCAAATTATTTACAACATTTGTGAAACCTATAGCGCAGACACACGCCAAACTAATAAATTACTTATTTATGTTCTGATAGTAAAAATCTCAAAACAGATAAGAAACCTCAACTGCCAGTCAAATTTTGATTGACAACGTCAATTTCCAATTTTCCAAGAGAATTTTCTGATTGGCTGATGTAAATTTCAGCAAAATTGATTGGATCTTGACAAAAGTAAACAAAACCACACAGATTCAACAAAGATTCCTGCAGTTTTTTACACTATAAAGTGTAGATAAGAAAGTTCCTTCAAGGTCACATTCATAATTGTGTGTTGCTTTACATCCTCTGATTTGAAAAAGATACCT